TAAAATTGAGGCAGAAGTTTGACTCAATGGATATTTAAGAGGCAAAATTATAAGAGTCTAATGGATATAAATTTGTGAGAAAAGAAACAAGGAGCGACTGTCAGATTCTAAGCTTTGTAACTGAATACCTACCATCACTCAGGGTTACGCAGGAAGAGCGGATCCAGAGAACAGACAGATTGAACCAATTTTGAACATGCTTAAGTGTCTAAGAGCAATCCAAGTAGGAATATTTGGTGGAAGTTTAGCTCAGAAGAGCTGTCTGAATTGAAGATACAGATTTGAAAGGCTTTGAACCCTTGAGCAATACAACCTAGATAATATGAACAAAAGTAGAAGCAACAAGTATAATCCTGGAAAACATCAACACATAGGATGGGGCTAAGTTAGTCCAGAAAGGAGAGCAGGGAGACAGGTAGGAAAAGAAACTGGTGAGACTGGTCACAGAAATCAATAGTATAGAGAATGTCAGGAAGGAAGCATGATCAAATAATTGCCAAATGCTCTAGAGAGGTCAAATAAGGTGAAAACTGAAAAGTGCTTTCTGACTTTGCCAATTAGGAGATCCTTGGTGACATTTGCCAGACTTTCTGGTGGAAGTCTGACAAATATGATTTGAAGGGCAGAGATGAGAAGTAGGAAGGGAGGGAGGAAAAGGAGGAGATAGAAAATTCAGACAGTAAGTATGATTTTAATTTCAGGTTCTGGTTGCTCAAAGGAGCTGAGATAAAAATGAGTCTACTGAGGAGGTACAATACTGAGAGAGTTGTTTCCTTTTTTTTTTTAATAGGAACCCAAGAAAGATAAATTAAAAATTACAAAGGGTGGAGAATGGAGGATGGCCTCAGGGTAACATAAAGTTGACCAGGTCAAATATAAAGCACTTCCTCAAACAGGGAAGACCTTCTAAAGAAATGGGAAAGCAATACACACTGGCAGTCTACTGGGGACGGTAGTTGGTCTTTCTGTTATTAAAGGGGCTATCTGTCTGCGGGGACAGGAGATTAAGAGTTTGTAGAGTGAACACCTAGACTTCACTCTGAGGGATGAAGAGTCATAATAGGCTACAAACAAATTAAAACATTGCCTTGGTAGCAATGTAATCATTTTGTTACTAATCCCTAAAATTTTATGGGATTGATCCAAGATTAAGAGAAAGCAAGGACTCAGGAATTCCTGAGTTGTACTGTTTGTACCAGGGATTGAACCAGGGGTGCTTAACCACTGAGCCACATCGCGGCCCTTTTTCTATTTTTTGTTTTTTTCTTCTTTTTCCTATTTTGAGACAGGGTCTTGCTAAGTTGTGTAGGACCTAAGTTGTTTAGCCCAGGCTGGCTTTGAACTTGTGATCCTCCTGCCTCAGGCTCCCAAGCCGCTGGGATTACAGGAGTGCGGCATCGCGCCAGGCTCTTGAATAGGGAATTTTAACTTAAATGGTCGACCACAGGATCTGTATATAAGGAAGAGTGATCGGTTGGCAAACTGTAGAAGGCAGGGGAGTCCACGAACTTGCACGTCTCATCATCGAAGCAAAGTAGTCTAGGATATGTTCTGGGAACAGCAGAAGTTGTAAAACGGTCTAAACACACTTAGAGGGCACACCTTATCCCCGTTGCTGGCACCACCCGGGTGATCAGCTTCCTCTCCATTCCGCAACTACACTACACCAAGGGAGGGGCCCCACCCTGCAAACCCTCACTTCTCCAGCCAGTCTCTATTCTACTTCACGGACAACAACTAGGCGCCGTGTGCTTTCCGTGAACTCTGGCCAGGTCGAACCAAGCCGCACCTTACACTAGGCCAGAAGGAACTGACTCGCGCCGTCCCTAGCTGTCCCGCAAAGCCTCCGTAGTGGGGGAAGGGTGGCCCAGGCTGGCGGTCCGCGCGCACCGACTTCCGCCCCCACACACCGCGCGCTCCGTGGCCCGCGGCGGGAGCTGCGGTTGGGCTGAGACGCCTGCGCACTGCGGCCCTCCTCGCGGCCCCGGGCACCCCACCCCCCGGTCTGGTCGCGCCCATGCGCCTGCGCTGTGCACGTTTCGGGGCTGCGGCAGCCATGCTGAACCCGTACAGAGAGGCGAGTGGGGGGGACAAGGTCGACGACAGCGGGATAGGACGCGGGAGATATGAAGAGGCAGCAGCATTAGCGCGCTCTGGGTGTCGGGGGACAGGCCTAGGCCTTGCGGCCCCGAGGCCCCCTCCAAACGACCCCCAGGAACGTTCGGAAAACTGGCCCTCGTGGCGGTGTGGGGGGGAGCAGCGGGCACGTGACTCCGATCAGCCAATCCGAGTGCTGCTGACGTGGCCGCGCGGCCCGGATGCTCTCCCCACCCCCCAACCCGCTCGGGAAGGGAGGGGCTGGGGGCTACGCCCCCTCCCCCAACACTGCTTCGGTTTCCGGGGGGGTTGACACCCCGGATTACATCCTCCCCCCGCACCAAGCCGAGGGCAACATTGGAGCCCCCCCGGAAGGCTCCACCATCCAGGTGAGAAGGGGCACTTGGGGCGGGGATGATGTTAGTCATTTAGATGCCAGTGACTTAAACCTATACGGTGAAGAAGCCAGGGTGTGTATGGAATTCTTGGGGTTCAAAAAGAACCTGAGTGGGATTTGTCCTTCAAATACTTCACAGCCAATGGGAGTGTGGAGGGGGACCAGCAGGAGAGGGCCACTGTGATGGGGGAGGGAATGGCCAACCTCCTGCCTCCATACCAATTGGAGGGCAAAGGGGAAGAGGGGGCGGCGTGCCCCCCCCCCCCCATTCGTCCCCTGGGGGTACAGGAGCCTGCAGCCAGGTGAGAGGGATCCTTCTTGGCGGCTGAGGGGGTGATCTGGTAGGCTGAAGAGTGAGAATGATGGCTGTAATTCCTAATCATGGATGTAAATGCTTTAGTGTTGTCAATTCAGTCTGTGAAATGAGGTTTTTCTTAGGCGCCAACTCACTTTTCCCTGGAGGCTCTGCTCGGAGCATTTCTGTGCTCCCTTTGTGTCAAGGGTAGGAAGCTCGCAGTCACCACATGGCATGCTGGAGCTTAGACTTGTCTGTTATCGAATTTGTGTGCATTCGCATGGACACGGCCTGTGGGGGCCCTGTGCCCAAACCTTCGTTGCCCCTCTAAGAGCTACTTGAGCACTTGTCTACTAGGGCTCGGAGGAAGGTTACAAACCGAAAGCTTGGGGTCTACTTGGGGAACAACCCAGGCCCAAAGTGGGTCCTAGTAAAAAGTGTGGCCTGAGACAGCAGGAAAGCTCAGAGCCTGGAATGAGTTCCTAGGTCTCGGGTTTCTCCGGGGTGGCCTCGTCTATTGCGTCTTTCATCCCCTCCCCCAGTCCTGAACAGCTCTCTCCTTGTGTACTGCGGGGGAGGGAACGGAAAGGAGGGGAAGAGTTACTTTTCCAAATTACTGAGTAGCAGTAGCCTCCCCTGTGACTCATGTGGGGGAAGGGAGGATTAGGAGAGATTGGGGAGCAGTGATTTCCCGGAATGCTGGGAAATGAGAGTTAAAATTCTGGCCACCCTTTCCCTTTCTAAAGCCCAGTATCTCTCTGCCGCCCCAATTTTTTCTGCCCTGGCCGGCCCCCTGAAGGGCCTGTGTCCTGACCTGCAAAGCCCCGGGCGGAGAAAAGCAGATTTGGGAGGCTGGGCCACTAGGGGGAGGGGAGAAGGCCTTTGCAAAGTTGCTGTGTCATTGCCCTCCCTGCTGCAGCCACCCGGGCGGGGCTGCATGTACTTTGGGGGGCCAGGACCGGATCCCAGGTGGGCTGGGGGTGGGGCGCCGGGGGACTCTGCTTTCCCTACGCGCACTTCCCTCCGGGGGGGTCTGTCCTCCTCGGGTGGTCCTGAAGACCGGAGGCTGGCGGCCATGTTAGGTGCAGTATGCGAGGTTGGAGCACAAGGGTTACTGCAGATGGAGGGTGGCATGATTGCAGCTCAAGGACCTAGGAGGCCCTGACTAGCCCTTCCAGGGGTAGAGGGAGCTTTCCTTATATTCGTTGCCCTACATTAATTTCCTTGCCTGGACGTGCACACAAACCTATTTTCCTCGGGGGTGTCAAAGCGCAGCTATTCTGTGGTGGGGGAAATCCTTTTATTCTACGGTAGGGGTATCTCCTCTAGAGGTGCTTCAGAGATCCTGGCCTTGGGCTCCGGTTCTTTATTCATACGTAGTCTGTAAGCCTATTCAGATAATCAAATTGTGAGGAAGACTTAAGAGGGAGTTAGGGGGAGGGGGCGAAACTGAGCTCCCAAAATGGCTCCTGCCCCTCCTCGGAGGCGGACGGCCCGGGGGGAGGGGAGGAGGGGAGAGAAGGAGGGGGAGGGCTAGTCTGAGCTACAGCCGCCGCCTCCTCTGCTCGCCCTCCTCCCTGGCGCTGACCGATGGACGAGCAGCTCCGTGGGGAGGACTCCGGACCCTGGTGGGGGGATGGGGGCGTTCTTTGGCCCCCGCGTGCGAAGGGACCCCAGGAGGGCGGTGCGGGTCTGCCCGGGCGAGGGGCGGGAAGCACGGAGAAAGGTCTGAGCTCGCCTGGAGAGGGGAGGGTCCCTCCCCCATTTCGCCCCTTGTAGGACTTGTTTTTTTCTGTTCTGAGCCAGACGCCGGAATGAGTTCGGGTAGAAGGGTATTACAGGATGGATGGGTTTGGAGATTTTGTTCCCTCTTTAGGGCTGTGGGGTTTTGTAGGCAGGTATTTGTATTGCTAATGAAGGGACGAGTGGGCTGGGATTGGAGAAGTGCTTGGGCGTGAAAGTTTTGGGTTTGGTGGCCTTGTTCATAGTATTTGGGTGTTTGCAGAGAGGAGAAGTATTTTGCCTTTGCTTTCGATTATTTGGTCTGGGGGAGGGAAGGGAGGATTGTAAGACTTTCAGCAAGCCGTATTTTAGGTCGTAGAAAAGAGGAACGTTAGGCCCCTTCGCTGTTAACGTTCAGGCGCCTTTAGTTGTTCGCCACAGGAGAATAGGCCGCGGCTTCTAAGATGGCGTCTTTCTTCCTCATTTCAGATTCTTCACTGCAGCGGCCTCCCTGCCAAGAACAGCATTCCGCCCTGCGTCCTGCAGCCACACCCCTGGCGAGCCGCGCCTGGCTACGCCCACGCGACCCCTCCCGTTCGGCCAATGGAGAACTACGAATGGCACTACCAGCCCAAGCTTGGCAGTCGGGAGTTACTTCGTGCTTGGGAGAACTTAGTTGGAAGAGGAGGCGGGGAGAAGGTGCTGGAGGCCGTGGGGAGATGGCCCTTGCACCTATTCCAACTTCCCTGTTTCCCTGGAGTCGCCGAACCACAGCGCAACCAAGCGGCTCAGATATGGCGGGTTGCCTATTCCCTGTGAGTCTATGCGGCACTCTTCTGCCTGGTGACTGACGACTTGGAAATGAAGTTTGTGACGTCATCGCTTCGACAGACCAATAGAAGAAGCTCCCGCGGAGATGGGATCCACCTCCTTCGACTTTGCTACTTCACGCGCGTGAGCGAGCGAGCGCGCGCGGAGGGGGTGGGGAAATTCTGGAGCAGGGTGGCGCGCATGAGCAACGAAGCTCCTCCTCCCCGCCTATATATAAAGGGCTGGCGCGGGGCTCGGCGGCGCCATTTCGCGCTGGAGTGGAGCAGCCTCTAGAACGACCTGGAGGATTCTGCTTACCGATACAGAGCCTTTGACTCGTCGGGGGCCGCCATTACAATCCACGTCCATCCGTTTGGAAATGGCCTTCGTCTCGGCCTATGACCGGTCCCGGCGGACAGTACAGACCCCATAGAAGCCCCTGAAGCTCCCCTTTTTCGGGCCCCGCCCAATTGTCGGAGTCTGTCCACCCCCTCTACTCCGCCCTCAAGAGGATTTCAAAGATGGAGGCGGCGGCTTCCTAAACCACTTTTCGTGTTCATCCGCCTCCATCCGAGGTCGAAACGGGATCTTGTCCAACCCGTACGGTCCCGACAGGAAGAGGGGACCCCTGCAAACCAACAGCGGGCTGTATTGACGACGGTGTCTAGGATCGGGGACTGTCTTTGGTTTTGGGGAGTCTATCCCCCTTGTCGTACGCCGGTCTCTGCTGAGGCCGCCGCCATTTTCTTGCTGTCCGCTGCCTGCGGAGCGCGCCAAGCTGCCGGGAGTCCTGCGAGAGGCCGCGCGGAGGAGACTGCTCGTGCCGGCCCAGCGGGGAGATTGTCGCCTGGAGGGCCAAGGGCAACGGCCTCCCCCCCACTTCCCGGGTTATGCTGGACCGGGCGGTGAGGGGATCCGAGGCCACCCGGACTTTACGCGGCTGAAGGCAGCGCTGGTTCCCCGCGGTCAAGATGCTGCAAAACGTGACTCCCCACAAGTACGTCTCCCGAGAGCGCGCGTGGGAAGGGGTCGTTGTGGGGCGGCGGCACGGGTGGAGGGCGCCGTGTTCGGGGGGCAGTACCGAACCACCCGGCGCCGGTTGCTATGCGTTGCCACTTCTTGGCGCAGCTGTTGGCTCGGGCTCGCGGAGGGGGTTGGACGACGGTTTTGGAACGGTGGCGGCGACCCAGTTGCTGCGTGTGGGGGGAGCGCAGGTTGTCAATTTATAAGCTACAGCCATGGCCCGGTCTTAACCAAGTTAGAGATAGTTCGGTGGCTGAAAGGGTAGGAATGGGTATTTTTAAGTAGACGAGCAGGTCCTGCGGGTATTGGGCCTGGTGCCTAGTTTTGGTTTGTCATGGTGTTTGGGGGGTTCGTGGTCAACCTCTGCCAGTAGTTGCCATGGTGACCGAGCTTCAGGACTTGGCAGCGGGGATTCCCAACTTTAGGATAGAGAGGATCCTACTGTCTAGGGTGTCATAAAATTCCTGCTCGTCTTTCAGTGAGTGGAAGGAGGGGGCTGGTTTTTGATGGTGTCGAGTGTTTGATTTAGGGCAGGAGGGTGGAGCTAAGACTTTTGCAGTGCTGCGGATGTAAACAATGAGGTCTCTAAGTAGTGTCTTAAATCTTAGGTGGTGGGAAACACCTGGCCTGGAGGAGTAACAGGACCACTGTTGGTCTTTAATGTGCAGTAGATGCTACATTGGGAACTGTTAGACCGTGTTTTTCTAGCAGGGTGTTGGGAGGTGTGCTGTCACAATCAGGTTGTGACCTTGGCTGTTGGGTGGCTGTTTTTTGAATTCTTGGAGGAGGTAGTTTGCAAATCTGGAGGGCAGTTAACTCCAATTGTGAGGTCTCACAAGATGTTCCCTTGTCTGAATTTATAAGTTAGACATTTAGTGCATTTTCTTTTATTAAATACTCAGCTTAATGAAAATAACATTTTTTCTACCCAGGTGGATTGATTCTTGGGTGCCTCAGCATTTTATGAAGTTTTTCTTCCTAGTTTATTTCCTCTCTTTTTTTCACTGTCTTCCCTCAGGCTCAACCACCATGGCAACCACCAAACCCCTAGTGAGGAGGAATCTTGGTCTTCAACTCCACCCATTTTTGCTTAAGAGCCATCCCCATAGGGCTTTCTTATTTTTAATTGAGCATGGGTTGCCAGACTCCAGAAGGTGGGATCTAGATTAGCTATACTAAAAATAAAAGGAGGGGGGAGGTGGGCATCAACAGAATCTCTACAGATGATTTTGATATTGGTTCATATTTGGAGCCACTTGCAAGCTTAGTTGTCTCACTAGGTCCAGAGCTTGGATTTATTGGTGACATAGTGCAAATTGCACTTTGAATTCCATGAGATCTCCACATCTAATGTTATTTACCATTTTTGCAGGCTCCCTGGGGACGGGAATGCAGGGTTACTGGGGTTGGGCCCAGAGGCAGCAGCTCCAGGAAAAAGGATTCGAAAGCCTTCTCTGTTGTATGAGGGATTTGAGAGTCCTACTATGGCGTCAGTGCCAGCTTTGCAACTAACCCCTGCCAACCCACCACCCCCTGAAGTATCCAATCCCAAAAAACCAGGACGGGTAACCAACCAGCTGCAATACCTGCACAAGGTGGTGATGAAAGCTCTGTGGAAACATCAGTTTGCGTGGCCATTTCGGCAGCCTGTAGATGCTGTCAAACTGGGTCTGCCGGTGAGTAGGAACATAGAATTGGGGGAGGTATGGGAATGAGCAAGAATGTGTGTGAGTGGGGGTGGGTTGCCTAGTGTAGGTGCTGCGGCCCCTAGGGAGTTCCCAATTCTTTTCTGTAGGGCAGATAGCCACCATAGTTCTGAATTCTTGGTCCTTTGTGATTGTTCCAACCGCTTGCTATCTCTATCTTGGCATCTCTTATTGTGCCCTCTGTGTCCTTCCTTAACTTTTTGTGCCCTGGCTCCATTTTACAGATTCCCACCCCGGGTTGGGAGAGGACCACGGTGGCCAAAATTCTTAGCTTCTTCCTTTCCCTCATGCAGCCCATGGATAGCCAACCCCAGAGGTAATGTCACAGGATGGGAAGTTTCTAGAATGGGTGGGAGGTGGGTGGTTAGGGAAAGGCAGTAGGGGCCCCCAAAGTGGGTTAAGGATCCTATTCCCCACCCTATCCTCCCCCCCTTTTTTTTGGTCCTGTAGTTTAATTGGGGCCGCAGTTTAGGGAACTGTATTCCTTTGATACATAGGGGGTGTGTGTGTGTGTGTGGGTCGGTCAGTGATTTCCCTGGGAGAATGGGTATTTTAATTTTCAGTGGCTCTGACGTACCATTTCTTTTTTTAGGATTATCACAAAATTATAAAACAGCCTATGGACATGGGTACTATTAAGAGGAGACTTGAAAACAATTATTATTGGGCTGCTTCTGAATGTATGCAGGATTTCAATACCATGTTCACCAACTGTTACATTTACAACAAGGTAAGTTTTTCTGTGTGCATTTAGCAGGTGATAAGAGGACATTTATTATAGCCAAATGGAAACGTTTTGTCTTCTATTGAAGCTGTATCCAGTTAGTAATGGTCCAAAGAAAACTGAGTCCAAATAGTGTTATCAGTAATGTGGCTTCAGAGCTCTATAGTTTAAGGTTATTTAAGTAGAACACTTTCATACTTGGGGATGGTGGCCCTGTTTCTCAGAAAGCTCCAGAGACCTGAGTAGAGCAGGATCTATTTTACTCATCAGTTCTCATTCTCTTAAGCTTGTGAACATTAAGGGACCATGTATTTTCATTAGTTTGTATTTTGAGAGACAGGAAAGAAGGGGACATTATTGGCCTAATGTGGTAATTTGCAGCATTTGATGACAGGTGCCTAAGGGAGAGTGGTCATGCCCTAGGGCCTGGAATTTGACAGAAATGGTCTTTTTTTTGCTATCATTTGGACCTTTCTAAATTTGTTTTTTGTTTCACTAGCCCACTGATGATATAGTCCTGATGGCACAGACACTGGAAAAGATCTTCCTACAGAAGGTGGCATCAATGCCTCAAGACGAACAAGAGCTTGTGGTGACCATCCCTAAGAACAGCCATAAGAAGGGGGCCAAGTTGGCAGGTGGGAAGAGTGAGAGTTTTGCGAATGGAGACCTGAAGAGACAGGAAAGAGAAACAAACTAAACGGTTTTTGCTTTGTTTTCCTTTATTAAGCACTCCAGGGCAGTATTACCAGTGCCCATCAGGTGCCTGCTGTCTCTTCTGTGTCACACACAGCCCTATATACTCCACCACCTGAGATACCTACCACTGTCCTCAACATTCCCCATCCATCGGTCATTTCTTCTCCCCTTCTCAAGTCTCTGCATTCTGCTGGACCCCCGCTCCTTGCTGTATCTGCAGCTCCCCCAGCTCAGCCCCTTGCCAAGGTATAGATAAATGTATCTGTTTTGGACAGTGGGAAGGGAAAGGTTTTGAATGAAGTGGACCTGGAGTAATAGTCTGTTGGTTTTTTATTTTTTTTTTTTCTGCAGAAAAAAGGGGTTAAACGAAAAGCAGATACTACCACCCCTACACCTACAGCCATCCTGGCTCCTGGTTCCCCAGCCAGCCCTCCTGGGAGTCTTGAGCCTAAAGCAGCACGGCTTCCCCCTATGCGTAGAGAGAGTGGTCGCCCCATCAAGCCCCCACGCAAAGACTTGCCTGACTCTCAGCAACAACACCAGAGCTCTAAAAAAGGAAAATTGTCAGAACAGTTAAAACATTGCAATGGCATTTTGAAGGAGTTGCTCTCTAAGAAGCATGCAGCCTATGCCTGGCCTTTCTATAAACCAGTGGACGCTTCTGCTCTTGGCCTGCATGACTACCATGACATCATTAAGCACCCCATGGACCTCAGCACTGTCAAGGTACCCACTGCATGGGGCAGATGGGATGCTAAGGCAGTGATTGGCATCTAGGGATCAATAAAATAATGTTCATGTCTCCTTATGGGTACACAGCAGTCTTTGATTTTTGGTTTTACAAAATTGTAAAGGGGCAGGTCAAGCAGTTTGAAATTGCATTTCCTACAGTAAGGATGAGTATTCTGTTTAAAGAGTAACCCTAATACACAGTTCTACTATTTAATGGGAGGGTTGGGTCAGAGAAGTTAAGGGGTGGAAGAACAGTTGGGTTACCTCCTGTATCACTTAGAAATGATTTCTTTTTCTAGACTTAAGATAATTTCTTCAACCTACCCAAATTCCTTTGACTTCTAACTTTAACCTCAGGGCACAGATCCATGTGCACATCCCCACTGTGCTCTCAAGAGAGGGCCTCTTGTGTTGTCTGGGGTTGGCAGGGAAAGGTGAGTCTCTCTGCCTGTGCAGCTTCTGATGCTGCCTCCTTCTGCAGCGGAAGATGGAGAACCGTGATTATCGGGACGCACAGGAGTTTGCTGCTGACGTGCGGCTTATGTTCTCCAACTGCTATAAGTACAACCCCCCAGACCACGATGTTGTGGCCATGGCACGAAAGCTGCAGGTGAGTGTAGAAGTTGAAGCTTAAAGGATAAATGGGTATGGGAGGGAGATTGCATCAATTTGTGCAGTATGTCCTCGACATGAGAGGACGTACAGCCACAAATTGAAATTATATGACGATGACTGGGTATAGCCCAGAACATTGTACCAGCATAATTTGGAGTCTGTTTTTTTCCTAGGACGTATTCGAGTTTCGTTATGCAAAGATGCCAGATGAACCACTGGAACCAGGGCCTTTACCAGTCTCCACTGCTTTGCCCCCTGGGCTGACCAAATCCTCTTCAGAGTCCTCCAGTGAGGAAAGTAGCAGTGAGAGCTCCTCTGAGGAAGAGGAGGAAGAAGATGAGGAAGATGAGGAGGAAGAGGAAGAAAGTGAAAGCTCAGACTCAGAGGAAGAAAGGGCTCATCGCTTGGCAGAACTACAAGAACAGGTATATTGTCACTCTTCAGTCTTTTAACTGGGTAAAAGTTTGGTTCATGCTCTGTCTTGGTCCTATTTTTTTCTCTCAATTTTACTTTCCCACTTCATGTCTTGACTTTTCTTTCTCTAGCTTCGGGCAGTACACGAACAACTTGCTGCCCTGTCCCAGGGCCCGATATCTAAGCCTAAGCGAAAGAGAGAGAAAAAGGAGAAAAAGAAGAAACGGAAGGCAGAGAAGCATCGCGGCCGAGCTGGTGTTGATGAAGATGACAAGGGGCCTCGGGCACCCCGCCCTCCTCAGCCCAAGAAGTCTAAGAAAGCTAGTGGCAGTGGGAGTGGCAATGCTGCCACGCTAGGCCCTCCTGGCTTTGGATCTTCTGGAGGAAGTGGCAACAAGTGAGTTCTAATAAGGTCAAAGCAGACTAGTTTGATTTCTATGCTATCTTCCACTCGTAATTTTTTTTTTCTAAATGTGAGGGTGGTCAGCAAATTTTGTGATAACTGATCAGGGTAATATCCTTCAAGAACCATGGGGTCTCTCAGGGTAACTGACTCAGATGTGTAGTGCATAAAAAGCTGTAGGCAATATGAAAACAATTATGACGCATGATTTACAAAAATCACGTTAGCTAGATTTGTTCCTCTTTGCCAGTTTGCTTACTCTTGTAAATAAATGATTCTAGACTTGTGTGTTTTTTCACGATGGCTTTAGTTGTGCTTTTAAAGGAGCAAAAAGATGGACTTGTACCAGTATACTTTAAAGCCCCAAATAAATACTTACATTGATATAAGAAGTCAATAAAATGCTCAGTTTTCTTAACTCAGTGTCCTAGTAAACCTACCTCTAACTTGGCTTTTTTGCCTTATGGCAAAAATATAGGCAGGAAATAAATTTCTGGGTTGAACAGTGGGACTATGTTTGGAGAGGTAGTTTTTGTAGTTGACAGGGTTTTTTGTTTTGCTTTGTTTGCCTATAGGCTACCCAAAAAGGCCACAAAGACAGCTCCACCTGCCCTGCCTACTGGATACGATTCAGAGGAAGAAGAAGAAAGTAGGCCCATGAGTTATGATGAGAAACGACAGTTAAGCCTGGATATCAACAAATTACCTGGAGAGAAATTGGGTCGAGTTGTACATATAATCCAAGCCCGAGAGCCTTCTTTACGGGACTCAAACCCAGAAGAGATTGAAATTGATTTTGAAACACTCAAACCATCCACACTTAGAGAACTTGAGCGTTATGTCCTCTCCTGCCTACGAAAGAAACCGCGGAAGCCCTATAGTGAGTATCACCTGAAGTCCATCGTGGTTCTGACAGCTTAGAAAGAGGTAGTGGTACACAATATAATGCATTTGAAATAATTTGTTTTGAAGATGATGTGATGCATGTGCGGTGCTGCTTCCTTGATGTTCAAGAATGGAACTTGGAGGGCTGGGGTTATATTATAGTTCAATTGGTAGAGCATTTGCCTAGCATGTGTAGAGGCACTGGTTCAATTCTCAGCACCACATAAAAATAATACGTGTTTTATGTCTGTCTACATTTTTTTAAAAAATGGAACTCTGAAATCTATGTGGCCAGTAACTCTAGGCAATCTTAGTGAATTCTGTTATCCATCCTCCCGCCCCCAGCCATTAAGAAACCTGTAGGAAAGACAAAGGAGGAACTAGCTTTGGAGAAAAAGCGGGAACTGGAAAAGAGGTTACAAGATGTCAGCGGGCAGCTCAATTCCACCAAGAAGCCCCCCAAGAAAGGTGAGAATACTTGGAGACTGCTGCAAATGTGTTATACTTGTTTTCATGTTTTCAGAAAAAAATTTTATCTTTTAACTCTCAACTTTTTTGTTCAGCGAGTGAGAAAACTGAGTCAACCTCTGCACAGCAAGTAGCAGTGTCTCGTCTCAGTGCTTCCAGCTCCAGCTCAGATTCCAGCTCCTCCTCTTCATCTTCCTCTTCTTCAGACACCAGTGACTCGGACTCAGGCTAAGGGGCCAGGCCAGATGGGGCAGGAAGGCTCCGCAGGACCGGACCCCTGAACTACCCTGCCCCAACCCATTCCCCCTTGCTGTGACACTTCTTCATCTCACCTCCCCTCCCCCCTCTGTAGGAGAGCTGGCTCTGCAGGGGGGAGGAATGCAGGAACATTCACTGAAGGAGGGACATGGACAAAAAATAAGATTGAATTCCCAGCCCCTTTGGGAGTAACCTCTTGGGCATAGAGCCCCCTGTTCAGAATGATGGGGATGGGGCAAGGGTACAGGGTGAGAGTGGGCAAAAGCCCCTGGACACAATGTTACCTGAGGCCATAGCTGCCCTGTTCACTTCTAAGGGCCCTGTTTTGAGGTTGTTTGTTCTAATTTATTTTAAGCTAGGTGAGGCTGTGGGGGATATGGCCATGGTCCCCTTGGCCTCCATGGGGAGGGAAGAAGGGGGAGCTCTTTTTTTACGTTGACTTTTTTTTTTCTACTCTGTTTTCCCTTTTTCCTTCCGCTCCATTTGGGGCTCTGGGGGTTTCAGTCATCTCCCCATTTGGTCCCCTGGACTGTCTTTGTCTCTTGATTCTAACTTGTAAATAAAGAAAATATTATTCAAGTTTTGAGTGAGTCATCTTTGTGTAATATTTTTTTTTTTTTGTAGGTTTGAAAAGAACTGATTGGTTTCAATTTTTTTTTTACAGTGCCAGGCACTAAACCCAGGGCCTTTGAAGTGCTAGGCAAGTACTCTACTATTGAGTTACACTTAGCCTGCTGCCTGGTTTTTTTGTCCCTTAAAATTTTCAGGAAAGTGATTTTTGAGAGGAATGGCCATACTGCAGTTGGGTTACTTTAGTGTTGGCTATGTTGTTAATAGTACTATCAGCCCTTTATAAATGAGTCTAATCTGGCTCATTTGTGTCTGTATCAAGTTTGGCCTGGATATGGGGCACACATGTTTTGTAATCCCAGCTGTTGGAGGAGGTTCTACAGCAGCAGAATCACAAGGTCAAGACCAGACTGGGAAATAGCCTTTTTTGAGACGGTTAAGTGTAGTTCAGTGGCAGATAGCACTTGCCTAGCATGTATGAGCTCCTGGATTCAAACCCTAGTGCTGGGGCTTGAGGATTTTCTCTTGATATTGGTATGAATTGTCTCCTGAACACACTTAACTAAAATGTGAAAGGGATTTAGGAGTTAACCAACATCTGTTTTGCTTTCTTCTTTCTGTCTTGAAAGACTACCATGAGCCTGTCTTCCCTTGCTAAGGGTAAGAGGGGGAAAGGCAGTTAAGGAGCTGGGATGTACAGTTTTCACAGTGTGGGTTTATATTGTATGTGGGAGACAGTTTTGGTTTAGTATAATGGATTGTAGTTGGAAACCTGAAGCTTGAATTAGGATTTAAAAGTGGGAATCTGATATGAAGAAAATGGCTTATTGTGCCATACATGATGCCATCAGAAGCAAGGTATAGGATGGACACCAGAAAGATGAAGATTTTGGAAGTAGCAATTATTCTCATCTCCTATCTTTGGGAATTCTGGTTAAATTGAATCCTGGCCAACAGCTCAAGCTCAGGAGATGATAAATCATAATGGGGTGATTTAGTAACAGGAGAAAACCTTTGCACTATGGAGTTCGCCCCTTAATGAGCACCTTTTTGAAAAGGTGCAGTGGATGGTAGGAATTTTACTACAAAAAAAAAAAAATTGGTCATTGAGGTTGATTTTTAAATATGTATGGAGTTGTATTTCATTTTCGGGAGAGTAAGGTTTGAATAAAGTTTGCAGAAAGTCATTGCTGTTGTGTGCACACCCTTTATTTGTGCCTGGTTTTGAACCCAGGGGCATTTTACTTCTGAACCACATCCCAGTCCTTTTTTAAAGCTGCTTAGGGCTTTAAAAAGATTTTTTTTTTTAATGTAGTTTGAAAGAATAATTCTATCCATCAAAAGATTTATGGAGTGCCTTTGGAATTGCTTTGGTTCTTCAGAAACTGAATCCAGGGAACTTCAAATGATTTAAGAAGAGGAAGAGAACTAGGCCAGAGAAAGTGGAAAAGACCTCATACTTGTTAGATCCATCTGGGAGTGAATATTGGGATTTGACTTTTCCTTAGCTGAATTAACTGGTCAACACCTCAGCTGTACTTCATGCTGACCCCCTTAGGCATTTTAAGTTTCAGGAGTTGGGTTGAGTTCCATCTGGATTGTCAAAAAGTATTTCCTAAGTGGCAAGTACAGGCTTCACAACTGGTGAAGTCCTTTGGACTATTATTTCCTCTTGTGCTCTTCCCTGCTGTTGGTATCTTGTGCTCTCTTGCTGTTTCTCTCCCCTGGCCTTCCATGCCATTTGAACTTTTTTCCATGGGAATCCTTTTTTTGTGGGGAAGGAGGTATGGTTGAGATCAACAGATTATTCAGTCAACATATTGAGTTCCCTTGATTTCCTCTAATTTTTCAATAGACAAGGGGTATAGGGTGAAGATATGAAGACAGCCTTATCTTCATGGAATTTGGTTGGTATCAATAGGATGCAATTAATCACCACCAGATCAATGATTATACAGATTACTCCAAGATAAAGGTGTGACTCAGTCTTAATGCACTATCCATTTTTACTGCACCACACTTTATGAACCTAGTCCCTTTATTAGGTTTTGCTTCCATGAGTGACCAGCATGAAGAACTCCCAGGACAAGGACCACTAGTTGGAGTTATCCTGTGGGCCTTGTGCAAAGTAATCAAAGGGAGGTCTGTCTGAGCAATGAGCACCTGTGACAAGCTGTGGAAATGTTAGAACCAATGTGATAGCTCCCAATGATAAACTAATTTCCTTTTTTTTTTTTTTTTTCTGGATCATCCCTAGTTCAAATTCTACAAGATCCCACTTACTGAATAAGTCAGCTCCTCAGTTTCTATGTGGGGAGAATGGAAAATGGCAACATTAGACAGTTTTGAATAAAAATTACTAGTACTTCTATAGTGTGCCAAGAATTGAGAAGTTTTTGTAATCGGAGGAAGGAGTATACATTGCCTTCAGAGTTTGGCCAGGAGAAGCCCAAGGAGGGCATTTAAGTCAAGTTCAATGCATAACGAATTTATCAAAAATTCACATTGACTACTTTTGTGCCAACTACCATGTCAAATCCAACTTCTATTCGGTCTTCACTGTAACTCTTTACGACTTAACCCCTCTTAATAAGTGAAGAAATAAAACAAATGAAGCAACTTACCCAAATCACAACACAGCCATTGAGTGGCGGAGGTGGGAAGTGAACCCGGACAGCCAAGCTTTTTTTTTTTTTAAAGAATTTTAAAAATACTTTTTTAGTTCCTGGCAGACACAACATCTTTATTTGTTCGAACCCGGGCCGCACGCATGCCAGGCGAGCGCGCTACCACGTGAGCCACATCCCCAGCCCGGACAGCCAAGCTTAAAGATGCATGTTGATGGGTACACTGAACTAAAAGTGAGCCAGGAGACAGATTTTAAAGAAATTGACTAGAGTTGGTGCCTATAGTCCCAGCTTGAGATGGGAAGATTACTTGGGCCCCCAGGAGTTTGAGAACAACTTGGACAGACAGCAAGAATTCATCTTAAAAAAAAAGTGCTAGCATATCATTATGAAGTAACATTAACAGAGTGGATAATTTAGGAAAGAATTGCAGCAATTAGTCCCAGCAAACAAGGATAGTGTTTTGAAAATGGAGAGGCAATCATGTAGATGAAGGGCCATTGATAGGTTTGAAAATTATGTAGGAGATAAATGGGAATTTTCTTTCTTTTTTTTTTTTTTTTTTTGTATCAGGGATTGAACTCGGGCACTCAACCAGTGATCCACATCCCCAGGTGAGTTACTTAGCACCTCACTGTTGCTGAGGCTGGCTTTGAACTTGTGATCCTCCTGTCTAAGCCTCTAGAGCCGCTGGGATTACAGGCATGTGCCACCATGCCCGGCAGTGGACTGTTAAATCACAACACTAAAGCAGTTTGTGTATGTCTCTACATACATACATACATAGAATATGTGAGATACACACACACACACACACACACACACACACACACGTATAGATATCAATGCCCCTTAGTCCCTAGTACAGCTATCGAGTAATGGAAGCAGGATAGTTGGATCAAGGATTGCCTCCTGTCTGGCTAACAGATGAGAATGAAATCCAGCAAGGTTTGCAGAAGGCAATTCTAAGGTACTTGAACACTGCCACGGAGGGTCTTTGGTGCCATCTGTTGGCTGAGTAGCTTATTGACTTCTGAATCTTGTCATTTTTGTCCATCTTTAGGTTTCCTCATTTTCATTCCTTTAACTTGAAATCTGAGCCTTCACTTTTTTGATGGAAAAGGCCCTTGAGGGAAGCGCAGGCCCTCAGAACTTGTCTTCCTTTACCTCCGAGGCATCTCACATTCTTCCCCTGGATTCGTTGACACCACTTGCTCCCAATGCACATGATTTTCAGACAGCCCCTCTTGCTCTGTTCTAAAGCCTCTGCCTCAGCCTTCCATCAGATGTTGTCCCTTGTGGTATCTTTCTTTGTCCTCTTCTTATTTAAATACTAAGCAATTTGACCTATTCCTCTGGAAACAACTCCAACCCATAAAATCCATGTCTCTACATCTGGCATCCCACTTCCAAGAAGTTTTCACTGAGGTCTGTTGAGGCTTCCATCACTTCTCTCTCTCTGCCCCCTGTCAGGCTGGGCTCAGCTCTTCTTACCAGTCCATGTCTTCCAGCTCTACCACATCTCGGGAGCTCATCACCCACACATGCCCTCATGCCCTGTCCCCTTCCCACCCTGCTAGTAAAGATCTCCTTTCCTGAGGTACCAGGCCTGTCTCTTCCAGGCAGACCTCACCTCACCTCCTCTCATCATCCTTGCCAAACTTTCAACAAACCCCAAACTTCAAATATATCTTTGTAGAGCAAGTAAATGTATATCATGAAGTATTTCTCATATCTGTTTGCCAGATAAGGACATTGCTAATATCAGATAAGCTAATATTTGATTTGCATTTGGAGGAGAAAAGTGGTTTGTTCTCCAGCAATAAGCATTTTTTGTCAGATATTTCGGTGGAAAAAAATGTTCCTAAAACTCTCTTTTTCCAGACCTCAGTCAGAGTCAATTGCTGGAATTGCTGAGACTATAAGTAACACTGGTTAATGGATATTTCCTTTTCTTCTAACCCTGAAATACATGTGACCCTGGTTTCCCTGTGAAGGCAGGTTGTAGAAACACAGAGATCCTCCAAACATGATTATTACCTTGTATTCTGCCTAGTTTTTTTTCTTCTTATCCAGAGTCACTGCAAAAAAGTTTACAGTTTCATCTACCCCTTCTTTCTCAAAAAAAAATTTAAAAAATTTTAAAAGATCTACTTCTTTGTGTTTTCTAAGTTTGATTATATGAACTCCAGGAAAGTGAAAACTGAAAAATTACTAACCAATCAGGAGCCAGGAAGTCCTCCTTCTCTGTCTGAGTGATGGGAAGTTGAATGATGGTTGCTCCAGATCCATGGTTACCACCATATATTGCTCTACATTCTTGAACTTGAGAAAGCACAGCATGTCCAGTCCTCCTGCACCCACTGGTTCCTATGTCAATTA